CAGCCGTTTAGCTTTTTATCAGATTTTCAGGTAAAATAATCAAGATAAAATCAAATAAAGGTTGTAGTTAGCAATAAAACTGCACTTATAATGATGTTGCTATGTAATTTAGCGGAAGTAGAAACATATTGAGTTTTTGGTTTAAATCAAAGTAGTTGTATAAAGTTAGGCTTATTTGTCCATATCATGATAATTATTGTGTGTATTAAACGTTTTTCAGTCTTATTTGTGTGATAAGAAAAAGTTCCAGTACAGTTTATTTCACACGGTGCAGCGCATGGCCTCCTTGTTAGCAACAGCTTCTTGTTTGAAGAGGATGTGGTTATCTCTCCTTGCTAACCAGACTCCAACCCCACTGGCTAAAAAAACCCTTTAAACCCGGGAACCATCGGCTTTTTGTGGCAGTGGGAGTAGCTCACTGACTTTTGTCTACCTGGGTCAAGAACCCGGAGAGGGACCCGTTGTTAAATTCGCCTCAGCTCTGATCGGCATGCTGTGGGAACACCAGAGCTGGGTTGATCCACTAAATTACGAGACACCATTGAATGCAACGTACAGACGTAAACACACTGCAGCAGTCGCTTCTGATCTAAAAAGCCGACACAACCCTGTTTACATTAGACATGGAGCAGCTCTGGTGGGAGGGATTCGAGTGGATAAGAGAGTGAAACAATAAAGCACACTGACTACTCCCTGGCTTCCTTCCATGTTGCTCTCCATTGTTTACTATTTCTGTTGCACTGGTGACAGACACTCAGCTGTGGGGGGAAAGAGGCCATGCAGCTGCCAGTGAGGGGTTAGACTGCCCCTTCCCGTTGGCAAAAAAGCCAACGGGAACGGGGCCGAATGACGATTGTAAGCGGGTCGACCCATGTTTGAAAAACACAGGTTAACACGGGTTATTTGAACACTTCCTACTTTTTATACAAATACAAAGCTTTGCCATTTTAATAGGGGAAAATATATTTGCACTTCTGAATGTGAACTTTTCACAAAATAAATAGACAAATGAAAAATAATAACTGTTTTATAAAACATGAAAAACACATGAATATTATTTATTCATTCAAATTCCTATTTATTCATTTTATTCTAACCAGTAAAAATAGGTGCTTACCGTAAATCCTCTAATATTGGCCTGTATTCTATTAGCGGCCGGGATTCTAAGATTGGCCTGTCTCGATGTCGGCAGAGGTAAATAATGGCCGGAGTCGTACACAGGCAGGGGCTATAATTAGAACCAACGATGTATAGCATGGGAAGTCCCATCCGTATAGTGTAGTGGCCTTACACAATCGTCCTGATCTCAAAGACATATGTGATTACCGGTAGGTCTGTTGGTAACCAGGCAGCGTTAAAATTACAGAATTTCATTGGCCTTCGTTGTTCTGAATTTCCCTTGAAATATATGATACTGGTAGCCTACTCCACTTAGCCTGCCTCAAATAAAATTTTGCTGTGATGGCAGAATAGTTTCCATTAATTTATTTATTTTTTTTTTTCAGTTTGGCCAAGATTCCATTCTGTGTCTTTTTTTTTTTCGTATTGCCATGCAGAAAAATTACAGCTGCTGGAAGATGTCTGAATAATGTTCTGTATACCGTTATGCTAACTGTACTTTTTCAATAAATGAACCTAGTAGTTTTTAGGTTCAAAGAGACACAAATTCTCATTTTTATTAATTCCACTGGTGGTCTGTTTTGATCAAATAGAAATAAAGGCCTGCCTCTAAATCTGGCCTCCTTTCAATAATGTCCTGGACCAAGATGTACCTGAGTGAAATTAAGATCCTGTCCTATATTAAAGGATTTACGGTATTTGGAGAAATTATTTGTTGAACATTTAAAACAATAAGAAATTTTCATTTTAGGCTTTTTGTGATTTGGAGTCACAAAACAATCTGAAAATAAAAGTCTGTTTAAACTATTATCATTATTTTTTTTATTCCATGCAAAAGATGCGAAAATTTGCTGAAGCTGTAGTGTTTTTAATCACAACATGTGAATCTTGTACAGGCCTATGTGTTGTATGATAATGCGTACCTGGACATGGACCTTTGCCACACTTCTGCACCTCAGCAGGTCTTCCTGAACACTGCACCTTCTCTGAGGTCCTCACACAAGTTCGTCTCCGTGTCCTGCGTCCTCCGCCGCAGGTTACTGAGCAGCTTCCCCAGGGGCCCCAAGGACTCCACTTAGCTGGTCAAGGAAATGTGTTATTGGATGGGTTTGAGTGTGAGTAAATGTTTTCAGTACTATTGCCTGTCATTCATTGCTATTTGCTATCTGAGAGCACTTTTTAAAATTAATAAATGACTGCACTAGTCCAGTCATGTCGTATCATGACCTGTTAGCTTCAAGTTAAAGAAAAAGAAGCAGGATGAGGAAATTAGACTAAAGAGTAACACAGCTTGTGCTGCAGGTAGCTGCAAAAAAAGCTACGTATTCACAGCACTGGACAAGCTGTTTACTATGAGCATTATTTTTTTATGACAGCAATTAAGAAAGGCCAGAAATGTGGGTTGGTTCTTTGGGGTTTTTTTAATGCTTCACTGCAAAAACTACCTAGAAATAAGTAAAATGTCCTATATTTAGTGTATTTACCCTTAATTTGATGAGGTGAATAAGATGCTTTGTCAATAGAATGAGTATATTATTACTCTTAAAATGAGATAATTAGCTAACATGCAACTGTAATAAGACAATGCAATTTTTTTCCTATTGTATATCTAAATTGACTTCTTACATTGGCAAAGTGTCTAACTTACCTCCTCAATTCAAGAAAAAAATGCACTTATTTGAAAGAAAAAATGACTTTTTTTGATTTCAATATTTTGAAGTGTTCGTCACCCATTAGCATTAAAAACTAATGGGTTAAGCTCACAATTTCTGCCACTAGTTCTTTAAAATGCTAATCTCAGGCAATATCACTTGAAGTAAAGGTAGTAAGCTTTCTATGATACATTTGACTCTGCAGGAATTCTATGATAATGCATGATGACATTAAGTTCATGTTTGAGTATAATGCTTAATACAAGTGACTGACCTGTGCATGGTGGGGTAGAACACTCCTTCCTCTCTGCATGGTGTCCTATACATGCTGGTACAAACAAAAGGGGCATGGGCTGAGCGCTCACACATTTCCTTTGGCGAACTTGAATCCCCACATCGTTACAAACGGTGGTTGAGCACGGACCCCACTCACTCCAGTCAGTCCAGTAGCTTTGAACTACACAAACGTGAGATCTTAAGATTTTAAGGCAAAACTCTCTTTTCGTACTTAAAAAACAAACAAAAAAGAAGTCATTTATGTATAACTTCACTTTGAAATGACTTTAAGCAATAGCCTGTATGGCCACAAACTGCTCTCACCTGGGGGACACTGAAAGCGAACATGATAGTTGGAACAGACGCGACCATGCGGCTGTTCTTTGTTGATGCACCAGAAGCCTTTCTCCAAACTTGAGTGGACCACTTCCCCCGTGTCTGCAGCTGCCACCCAGTCTGTGGTGCGGGCCTCCATGGCCGTAGGACGAGCACAGATCCTTTCTCTGTAGTAAAAGCGAATTGCTTCCAGGCGCTCGTAGTCTCCATTTCCACCTGGATGGTCGATGTTGAACCAAGATGTCCACTCAGTTACACCTGAGGGCACACAGAGAGAATGATAGATTACCAGAGTTACTTATGGCCAAACAAGTAGAGAAATATAGCATCTAAATGTATTTATGGAGGAGAATGGGAATGATATACTTAGCACACAAAGTAAGGGTCTCCCAGAGACGGCTTCAGGTTTAGATATGAGTTCTCTGAATCAGAATCAGACATACTTTAATAATCCCACAAGGGAAGTGTCTGTAATTTCCCTCTGGGTTTATTAAAGTATGTCTGAAGTTAGGGTTAGTAGATAGAAAACTCGTGAGGAGAATCCGCAACATGCAACAGTGGCGCCTTAAGAAGCCATATATAATGGGTCACAGATAAAGTTCTAACACCAGACTGTACTTTTAGGGAGCAGATATGAAAGGATTGAGCAGAGCTGACATGTGACACAAGCAGAGTGCTGTTCACTGATTGGGTGTGGATGAGGAAGTGAGCTATATAGACAGAGGGACTACAGTGTTATGAAGGACCAGCTTGAACAGAGCAGTTCAAACCAAAATCAGTTAAATCCATAAGCCAGTTTAAGCCGTTGTTCTCTTCAGAAATTAAAGTAACACACTGTGGCTGTGTCTGAACGTCTGCCCTAACCTCTAAATCCCTCCATCACTATATAGAGCTATATAGTGGACACAGTTCATCACATTGCCAACATCATCTGTGTCTGTTTGTGGATAAACAACATCTGCTAAGTGTAATAAATACTTCCAGGATATTTTTTTTCCTGCTGGAAGTAATAAAAAACTTTTTTATTTATGTATTTTTTCTTATTTCTACCAAAGTAGTCACTGTATTATATCAAGATTAAATATTTTGTTATTTTACCGTCTGTTTTTGGATAAAGACCCAGATTAGGCAAATTAACCTTATTTTTTTCCATCTATACATAAAAGATGATCAACATTTCCTTGTACTTTAATAAAAATGTTTCCTTAATTTCCTTTAAATATATTAACATTTCAACCAAAAATATTTACTAAACCTTATAGATTTAATTGCCTTAATTCCTATAAAGGGTTTTCCATCTACGAAAGGGTGAATCAGTGGTGACAGAACATTTATCATAAATGCTACATTGTCTTAGACATACTGATTTGATGCTGCTGTTGTGCTAAAAGAATAAAAGACTTCATATATTGGCAAAGTATAACTTCACAATATGCTTGACATTCTTCATTTTAGTGCTTCTTATAACAGTTGTCATAAAATACTACTGTATTCTCGTAATTGTACGACTTTACTCCTGTAAGTTAAGATTTTCTTGTCATATTTTGACTTTATTCTCATAATGTTATGACTTTATCCTCGTAATATGATTTTATTTTCTTAATGTTGTGACTTTATTCTTTAAATGCTTTACTCTGATATTGTTACAACTTTATTCTCATAATATTAGGACTTAAATTTCCAATTGCTGTGACATGATTTTCATATCATGACCTTATTTTCCTAATGTGACTATTCTCATAATATTATGGCTTTATTCTCTTAATAATGCCACTTTATTGTTACAATATTATGACATAATTCTCGTACTTTTGCGACTTTAGTCTGATAATATTATGACTTTATAATGTTACAACATTATTCTGATAATGTTATGACTTCACTCTTGTATTAAAAAAAAATCTCTAGCCTGGCCCTAATACAACATTGTACTATTTGCACATAGATAACACCCTAAAGCGTTGCTCCAGAAATGTGTGAGGATATAAAATGCAAAGAAATCCATAACTGTTGCATGGCATATAACTCCTTTAACGATTACACTAAACAGCAAATTTATCACCTTTAATAAGAAGCATGGTAACATTGCCTGTCACTTAGAACTTAAGGTTATTTTATGCAGGCAAAATAGTAAACAACACAAGTGGATTGCTCTACAATTATTGTTAACTTTAGTCAGTTGCACACATTAAGGAGTCCTAATAAAAAAACTCTTTATTCTGCCTAGACTGTAGACGGTAAGTTTAGTATTGCCCGAGAAATGCAGCTGAGTTTTCTTTGGGAGTAGGTTTTAAACATTAGTCTGGCTTTTTTTACAGGAAATTAGCACCATTAAAAATGTGCTGAGGGCACTTTTAACCTTTTCTGCTTGTAATAAAGTCTAGAAACATCAGTGTAAGTGTGTTAAAAGCGACATGTGACAGCAATGTTTAAAGATTTCACACTTTTCTTGCTTCTGCAAATAAACGTTCCTAATAGCTGCGCCTCTTTATAATGATAAAAAAGCCATAAAAACTGTAAAAATACAACAAGAGCTCATTATTTATAAACAGTGAATAAGATCATGAAACAGGCTTTGCTCTCTCAGTACCTGTTGTCTGTGAGTCAAGGAATTCTTTGAAGGCAACTCTTTTGCTTCTGTCTGATGCATTTCTGCTCCTGAATAGTCCTGAAGAAAAAGGCAAAAATAATCAGCACTGGAATTTTAATGAAAAACAAGTCATTAAAGATGATTTGTGTTCAGGGAGATATATGCACACCCATGAATGCAACTAGACTCCATTGTATCATTATAACAGACAGTAGATGTGTTATCATGACGTATGATAATAGCTTCACTTATACCTAAACCTTAAGCAGACATATTACTGTATCTCTCAGACTCCTTCTTCTAAAGTATCATGTTTCTATGCTCTGCAGTTGTGTTAGTATGGCAGCAAAAACACCTTAAACATTGGTTTCTGCCTCAGTGATGTTTCCCTCCATGTTTTGATGTCATTGTTTTTTCTGCTCCACTCATTTTTAATGTTGGAAAAGACGATGATCGTTTGCTTGACATTTCTCCTGTGGGTTTCATTTGTGGCAATTAGAAAAAAGTTAAATGTCATGGTCCATAACAGAAACAAAAAGTCTCCTATACTGCCTTTAACCACTTGTTTGTGTGTGTGTGGATGTGTGTGTGTAATGGGTATAAGTGCTGCTGAGTTTACGAGCAGAGAATCCAGTATTGATCGCCGTCCCTTCTGGTTTTACAGGTTTTAAGTTCTCTATAGTCATGCCAGCACTTTTGGTTTAATCATTCCACTTTTAATGTACATTTCTGGATAAATTGCTTTGTGTATGCTTTCAGGTCAGCATGGATATGGATCTGACCATCACGGTTGTTGCTCTTTTTTTGATTTGGCTTTTAGAAGAGGCATTTTAAGCTTCCCATATGGCTCTGTGCCTCTAATATGTTAGGTTGACTTGAGAACCAAAATCAAAACCCAAACTCAAACTGATGTGTTCAGCAGATGTGCGCCTGCAGATTGAGTTCAGTGAGAGGAATCAAATTGTTTTCCCATCATTCTTTTTTTTTTCTGCAGTGGTTTATAAGTCATTATTACATTCCTGCACAGTTCCTGATGATTAGCGCTTCATATTTGTTTTTCCAGAAGTTTGCAAGTGTTTGCACCATGGATAATACATTTTTTGATGCTGCAGATGCTGCAGATGCTGCCGCTACGAATTCATGTGAGGCTTCTTAGCTAGCTCATTAGCTTCTAAAGCTAGACATGGTGCCATTAATGACTAATTCAGCCTAAATGCACACAGACTTGTTTCCAAGAAAGTCTAAAGCAGCATTTGTGGTTACATAACAATCCTACACCCCCTCACACCAATGTTAAACTGAGCTCCTGGCCCTGTATTATCACTTCAAGATGTTTCACGATAAAAAACCAAAGAAGTATTTTGGTTTTACAAGGTGTCTAACAGTTTTAGGAAAATTAAAAGAGGAAATCCCAATTAGGAGCAGCAGAAAGGAAAACATTAAAGCGCTGACCTCATGGCAGGTATATGAACTGGCCCAGTGCACAGGGCTGATTGTGCATTTGAACAACATATTAACACTTCATTAATTTTAAAGGCCAAAGGGTTTCATTGGGCTACTGATTCATTTGGCTGGTATGTAGGAGAATGAACTCCTCCAAGAATCAAGTAACACATGTTTTCAAGCTCAAGGGAGAAGGGTTAGAACATATTCCTCTTAATGCCTAACTGGTGCCATACATCTTCACTCTTTTTTATGAGGCTTTTTCTTCAAACAACTTATATGTATATTTTAAACTTTGAGAAGAACATGTATCCATTATAAGGGCTTTTGGTATCAGGTATCACTACCCACAACACATAGTAAGGTAACAAGATAGACAGTAATGTAAACTAGGGGTGAGTATTGCCAATATATCCGGCAGCCGAAAATCACAATATATCGCAAAATCAATATTTTCCCACACTCCTAATGTGAACCTGCTTCACTCTGAATTCTTTACATGAGGTTGGGTGGAAAATACCAACAATTTGTGTTTAAGTGACTGAGTTTCTTCTAATTACCAGAGGTGTCAAAAGTACACACATTTGTTACTTAAGTAGAAGTATAGATACTGCAGTTTAAAAACNACTCTGGTAAAAGTACAACTTGACATCTATACTCAAGTTAAAGTGAAAAAGTATGTGCTCCAAAAACTACTTAAAGTATAAAGTAACCTTTAAAAAAAACAGCCAGACACCACTATATGAATTGAAAACTAACTTTTACGACTATTTCGAAAAAATTCTTTGAGATAGGGCCAAGGATGAGGGAGGTCTTGTTGGTCTCTATCTCCCGATACTCTCTCGCCTGTGTCCGACCTTTCAGACATTTCAACATCTTTTTAATAAATCTGACATTGTAGAATGGCATAGACAATTTGCTTTTGTAGTTTGAAGAACACCTGCTTGCTTCTGATGATTTCCTTTAGCTAACCAATGAGCGTTTGTTATATGACTCATCCAATTACACTAGTCAAGATCCGCTATTTCAGTCGCACCAAACAGGAAAAAGGATAGCAAGAAGATCCAGTTTGTCAAATTAAAATATAGTAACAACAGATCGCTAACTACAAATTAGAGCATAATTCTTAAATATATAAAAAAAAAAAAAACTAACACCGTTTATTTAAAAAATTGTACTTCAACAGACCAGGAGGCAGATTTCTCATCTCCATCAGAAACCACACATATGCTGGATGCTGATGGGGATTTTTTTAATATGTCCTATTTATTAAGCATTAATCTCAGCATGTTTTGTTCCTACGAATTTAATGATAATATCGCGCATGCTCTCCTAAAGCTCAGGGGATAATTCAGAGTGCAGCAATACGAGAGGAACAGCGGAGGCTGTAGGCTTTCCTTTGTGCAGGAGACCTCCTGGTTTCGGGGTAACAGGAGAAGCGGCGTAAGTGATGTTAAGACACTGTTGTCCACAACATGTGTTAATTTATAAATGTTTTAAATAATCAGGTTGGGTCAGGATTAGCCAGCAGGTGGGTCCGGATCCGGACCACGGTCCGCTAATCCGTGACCGGGTCCGCTAAACCGACGCCAAGAGTAACGAGTAACGTTTGTTTTAAATATGTAAGGAATAGAAAATGCAGATACTTTTGTGAAAATGTAATGATTAGAAGTCAGAAGTAGGAAGAAAAATAAGTAATGGAGTAAAGTATAGATACCTAAAAAGTGTACTGAAGTACAGTAACAAAGTATTTCTACTTCGTTACTTGACACCTCTAATTAAGGATCAATCTTTAAAGGCAAAACGCAGACTTTGTGACCTAAAGAGTTGACGCATAGAGTTATTTAAAATAATTCCTCAGGCCAGTATACGGTGCTTGGTACTATCAATGTTTCAAGTGGGGCTCCCCTCTTGAAATACCGCCTATGTTAGTCGGGAAAAGACGCTGCGTCATTGGCCAGGTCTTGTGACCTGGAAGAAGGTATCGCTTTACGGCCAAAGGCTCTTATATGGTAACGGAGCTAAGGATTTTGCGCTACTATTTTTTCGCCTGCTTGACTACTGGTTATGGTTGAGGCAAGGAAAAAGTTTAAACCATCTGAGGAGGCTAAAAAGACAAACCGTGAAATGGATTGTGCGCGAGGAAAAACAAGCGTCGATTTTGCTAAGGAGTTTATTCATTGGCGCATCCTGAAAGAAGACGCCGGGTGTAAAACCGATTCTCTTTTCTCAAAATTATTATTAAACTGGTAAGTTAAGACTTTGCTCCTAGTAAACAGTCATATATCTTTGTTATTATATTTGATGTTCAGTAGAAGCGAAATACAGGCAGTTACAGGTCTAGCGCCTCTAAGGGCCAAAAGTTACACATTGTTCCTTTAACTGTGGAGCCTTTGGTAATAAGTATTGGATTGAACCGAAAACATGACTGTGGTTTACAGCTTCGCTGCTTCTGCTCTTTTTAATCATCAGTGTCTTTTGTGAAGCTTTTCTGCCGGTCATTACATATAGTTTTTGTCTTTGCTAGATAATGAGTTTTTTATTACTTGTTTGTTTAATATAGTTCCTGACGAAAGAAAATGAAAGACTTTGTAAAGTTGCACCCGCAATGGTTCCACACATATTAGGAAAAATTTGTCTGAGCCAGATGTATGCTGGCAGACACACAGGACCTAAATAGGTGCTCTGGTTTCTGTTTATAATAATATTAAAGATTCTCACATGATGTAGAAGATGGAAAATGAAATTCTTCTAAACCTACTGAAGGGAAAAAACCTTCTTGGAGAATCTGTACAGAAGTGTTTCATGTTTGAACTGAGTGATGAGTCTTTAAAGGAGTATATGGATGCAATGTTCACCTTTCAACTGAACATTGTTTAAGCACTTACACACACACACAGAAGAGTATTACCAAAAGCTCACCATATGAGAAATAAAGGATGTGGCTAATTTAGCACAGAAATTAGAATAAAGAAATCCACTTTTTATAAGTAGTGAAAAGCACAGTAAAACAATGAAATCAAAATAAGGGGGGAAAAGTGACATTGCGTTTCATGTTGTTGCATATAAGCTATGTATGCTAATCTTAGCAATGATGCAAAGCTAGCATATGCATTAAGTCAAAAAAGTTACTGTTAAAACTCTAGTCTTACATATATTTTTTTACATATTAGCTAAGATCATGTCCACCTATCTGCAAGATACAAAGAACTTAGTGACAACCAAGCATCCCCAGTACACTGGAAAAAAAAAATCATTTGGATACACTTAAAAAAATAATTTGTTACATTTAACTGTATAACTATTTCTCAAATTAATTTGATAATATGATTGTAAGTATGATTTTGATTAATTACAAAATGTTTTTTACCTTCAGACAAAGAAACTGCATTCAAACAAAGTAAAACTATAACTTTTAACAGATAATTAACAGGTTTTTTGCTTTTTTTGCAAAATGGTATACTGCATTGATTTTTAAAGAGTAATTACATAACTTTGTAATAATAGTTGGAACTATCTTTATTGATACAGACACACAATTTTGTAATTCATGATAACTTGGAGCTGGACCTTTAGTTTTTAAACTTTAAAAACTTGATTGGTGTTTCCTGTTATTGTTTTTAACAAGCTAAAGA